CACCCTCCTCCGATTTTCCCCACAACCACCATCCTGTGAGGTGAGCTGGGCTAAGAGAGAACGGCCCAATTACCCAGCAGGCTTTCATAGCTGAGACTTGAACTCACGGTCTCCCGCTTTCTAGTCCGGTGCCTTAACCACTAGACCAAACTGGCTGTCATAAACTGCTTTAGTGTAATGTCTATGTCATAACATGCTTTTATCAGTTTTTGCAAAATCTCAATTTTAGAGGGGCCGTGTGTCCCACATTTGTCTGCATTCTAAAAAGTTAATCCATCTGAGATATCTTGATTCAAAAGGTTTTACCCTGCAAACAATACACCCACTTAAAGGTTACAGGAAATAAGAATTTTAGTTTGTGTGTGCGTGTGCATTAAGAAAAAAATAATTAAAAAAAAACATAGATCTTAAAATCACACAATTTCTCATGAAACCTGAGCTCCTTCTCATCCCTCCAAGTTCTGATGTGGTCTTTGAAAAGAAGACTCTGATTTCAAGCTATGGTTCCCCTTAATTTTTTAAAAAATGGCTAAATTTTTAAATGGCTAATTTAAAAAACAAGGGACGAGTGGCTGAGACGCTGAGCTTGTCGATCAGAAAGGTTGGCAGTTCGAATCCCTAGTGCCGTGTAACGGAGTGAGCTCCCGTTCCTTATCCCAGCTTCTGCCAACCTAGCAGTTCGAAAGCATGTAAACATGCAAGTAGAAAAATAGGGACCACCTTTGGTGAGAAGGTAACAGCGTTCCATGCACCTTCGGTGTTTAGTCATGCCGGCCACATGACCACGAAGATGTCTTTGGACAGTGCTGGCTCTTCGGCTTTGAAACGGAGATGAGCACCACCCCCTAGAGTCGGGAACAACTAGCAAATATGTGAGAGGGGAACCTTTACCATTACCTTATCCTGGACAAGGAGCAGTATAGTTGAGGCCTGTCTGGGTGGATAGGGGAACAAAGGATATTGTCTTTATTGGGCTGCACTGCTTTTAATATTTGTTTAGCTTTCGTGTGAAATTTGAACTTGAGGCTAAAGCAGGTGTGTCCAACCTTTTGGTTTGCTTGGGCCGCAAGAAGTGAAGAGGTATTATCTTGGACTGCATATAATGTATATGAATGCACATAAATGTTGAAAGTTTACAATCTTGTGAGGTTGCATTGCTAGCTGTCTAGGGCTGCATGTGGATTGTTGGCCTGGAGTTGGACACGCCTGGTCTAAAGGCAAGGTTGCAGCTCAGATACTTTTTTGTCCCATGGTTAGCCTGGGTGCCATTCTACCAGGAAAGCTGTGCCTTACAGTAATGGTAATTTGCACCTCATGCAGCATCAGCTAAGAAATAGCATTAGGCTTCTTCTCATCAACAAGATAAAAAGACCCACCTGTGTTCAAGTCCCTAAGGATAAAGCAGCAGGGGTGTTATGATCTGCATTCACCTTTCCTTAAGCAGCCAAAGAGGATGAAGATCTACCCGATGGAAAAAGGTGGTACAAATTCAGTCTTTGTATTTTAGTTCTTAATAATCCCTTAATACTTTTGGGTTAATTCAATAAGATTAAGAATCAGAGCGGGCTTATTATTGTAGGATGGATTTATGAAGATCTTTCTGTGAATTGGAAAAGAGATCTGTAGGTTGTTCTGTCTAATTGAATAAGATTGAGTAAGAGCAAAAAGGAAAAGAGGATCTTGGCTGAGCCCATTAAAGCTGCTATAAAACAGTTTGAAATGCCAAAAGACTCTGCTGTTCCTCCTACTAATATGACTATCCACTCTGCAAATGATACAAACAGATTTATTAATTTACACAAATTATGAAGCACCAGCCAAAGATTATATGACAAATCAAATAGGTATGTGGCTTGCAAATTGGCAGAACATTTTTTTCATGTCATGAAATCCATTATATGATATAATTTTAAAATCAGTTTAGAACAAATATTCTATCTTGCTTCTAGGGTAAGAATAAACTTGGATTAGCTTCTCTTTTATGCTGCTATTCAGGAAAAGTATATGATTCGTAGATGCTATAGAATAGGAGCAAAAATAGTTTTTATGACCCTCAGAGATTTAAAAAGTGTGTTCTGCAGCATAGATTGTTCTTAGTCCAAGAAATACATCTTCAAAGTAAAGCTAATTTATTTTTTATTTCAAACATATGAACAAACTCCTTCCCTCCGGGGCTGTTTACTTGCAGTCCAGATGTTATGCTCCATTGTGTGTCTTGAAGTTTGAAGTGACCAAGAAAATGAAACGCTAATTAAAAGCAGTATCACAAATCTCTGAATGCAGGGATAAAAATTCAGGTTACCACCACCCCCTCCTTTTAATTTTCTGTTTCCATTTCTTGATCACTACTGGAGAAATTGGCTACTTAAATGTGGCAGCCCACATTTTTATACATGGTGTTGTGACACATACACCGTTTTCCCGGGAAACCATTTCTGTCAAATGATGTATGATAAAATTCTATTTAATGGTAGTAGATTTCTGTGAATTACTGATTATTGCAAGAACTGGCTGAGGAATATTTCCTTTTGTGTATTGTGATTTTGGGACCACTTTCAGCAGGGGAGTGGCCCCCCAAAACAGTCTGCCCAGTCTGAGAGCAGCTGTGGTTGACAACTTTGGGGATTACCAAATGGCTACTCAGCAACAGGTATTCCCAATTGTTAAGTTGATTTTGGAAAAGCAAATAACAGTCCTGCAACTAAAAGCAAGTTGAACAGCTAGTCAGTGAAGCATATTTCCACTGGGGATTTGGTTGGCTATGAAATCCGACAGGAAGGTTTCCTGGTGCTCTTGTGCAAATGCGGGGCCTCCCACAGCATGTCCCTCAGAGCTTGTGGATAATTGCAGCCACAATAACTATACTGATTGTGATTCACTTCCTGAGAATAGCAGTGATACCTGTAAACAGCCAATGTGGAGCATCCCTGAGTGCCTGCTGCCCCACAGTGGTCCATTCTTATTAGACTTCCTTAAAAGAAAGGCTCTTGAATGAACATGGCTCTTAACTTCCCATTAGCCTTGCCACGGCTGCCTGCCAAGCAGACCCAGTTACAAGAGTCAGAGGGATGGTTGTAGTCACGGGGCAGACCAAATCTTGTGGACACCTGGGCGATGCCATGTCGAGCTCAGATGCAGAGGATGATTTTCAAGAGCCTGCCACTCCAACAGCAACCCAGGCAGAGCACTCCCTACCCCTGCTTCCTCAGCAGGTGAGTGACTTAATACATGCTGTATCCTTGTACATTATTCTGTTTGAGCTAGCATAGCAATACTCTCTTTGTTGGAGTTGCCAGTGCAGTTTCTCTAGAGCAGTTTTGAATATGAATTACTTTTTCAAACTTCTTCTGTGTTCAGGCTACTTGTGCTAGTGGCTTGGTTTAAATTACCCAGAAAACATTTGGTGATAGTTAGAGATAATTATTGTAAGAAAATAGAAGTATACTTTATTGATGGGCTATTATTATAATTCATTCTGATCAAAAGTGGAATATTAATAAATAACTCCACTAAAGCAATATTTTAAATATTTCTACATACATACATACATACATACATACATACATACATACATACATACATACAGCAATATTTTAAATCCTAAGAATATGTTTGTCCTGGCTTTTAAATATTCTGAAAACTAAGAATTTCCCAAGTTATCCATATCTTCTAGGTTTCAAATGTATTTATTTTTATTTAATTAGACTTTAATCCAGTCTTTTATTCCGTGACCCGTCAAAAGCGCGTTCCACAAAAGCGCGGTCGACGAAATCGCGTATGTGACATCATCACAACGCGATGAA